CGGGGGTAAGGGACGGAGCCGGAGGGCGCAGGGGGGCTCGGCCGGGTGCTGCGCACACCTGTGCTGCCTCTTGGAGGCTGCTGCGAAGGAAGGGGAGAGGAGGCGGTGAGTGTCCCCGGGGCGGCCCCGTTGTCCCCACGTGCGTCGGACCCCGGCCGCCCCCCGTTTGTGGCTCTCACCGCCGCGCCGCCGCCGCCAGAAGTGCCGTCCGAGCGCAGCAGCGACGGCCAGCAGCACCAGGAGGGACGCGGGGAGCCCTGCAGCCAGGACTGGGGACGGAGAGGGGACGGTGCGGCACGGGCTGGGCCGGCAGAGCCCCGGGGCCGCGTCCCCACGGCCCTCACCTTGCGCCCGCCGCCGTCCCCATCCCTGCCGCGTCACCACCAGGAGAACCTCGGGGCTGCGGGCCCTGAAGACGCGCCGGGTCCCCAGGCTGTTGGCGGCCACGCACTGATAGGTGCCCGCGTGTTGCGGCCCCAGCACCCCAAGGTGCCACGTGGGGCCCCTGCTCAGCTCCTGCCCGTCCCGCAGCCACACGAAGCCCACCGGCCCCGTCCCCGCCCCCACCCTGCAGCTCAGGTTCAGCTCCTCGCCCGCCATCCGCTCCAGCTCTGCTCCCACCTCCGTCCCCAGCACCGCGATGCTGGCGTTGGACACCGGCACTGAGAGGGCATGGGGTCGGACAGAGGGAGGGGAGGGGGTGGGATGGGATGGAGGGGTGGGATGGGATGGGATGAGATGGGATGGGATTGCAGATCCAGGAGGGATTTGGGAGCTGGGGGGGATGTGGGCGTGGATGGGGAGCTGGGGACAGATGGAGGGACTCAGGAGGGATGGAGGACACCGAGAGATGGGATGTGGGTGGAGTGGGGGGTATGGGACAGGGAACGCAGGTGGGGTGGGGATGGGAGCAGTGAGATGTTGGGCACTGGGGCAGGGATGCGGAGCCGGGAATGGATGGAAGCAACCGGAGAGGGATGGGGGGCGCGGGGCACAGAGGGGGGGTTCTGGGATGGGACGTGGGGAATCTGGAAGGAACGGGGCGACTGGGAAGAGACGGGGGGACAGGGGGCACCCGGGGGCGCGAGGAGGGACCGAAGGGTCTGGGCGGAGCCCGGCAGGGCGCGGGGCCGTTGGAAACGGGGACCGGGTGGGAGAGGTGCGGGCAGGGGGCGCAGCGGGCTGAGCTCACGTGTGACGGCGAGGCGCAGCTGCGGGCTGCTGGCCGTGCTGATGCCGTTGCTGGCCGTGCAGTGGTAGCGGTCGTCGTCCTCCAGCTGCGCCATCCGCAGCTCGTAGAGCGGCCCCGAGCCCAGCGCTCCCGTGCGGTTCTGCCGGTGCCAGGAGAAGGAGAGCGGCCCGGAGCCCACGGACACCGCACAGCTCAGCAGCACGCGGTCACCCAACAGAACCTGAGCATCGGGGGGATCGGAGCGCAGGGAAACCCCGGCCACGGGAATCCCTGGGGAGGGGATGGGGGAGAGGGGAGGTTGGTTTGGGTGGGATGGGATGGGATGGGATGGGATGGGATGGGATGGGATGGGATGGGATGGGATGGGGGAGATGGAATTGGAAGGGACCGGGGAGGAGGGGAGCAGAAGAGGGGACATGGTGAGGAGCAGGGCACCAGGGCAGGGATGGAGACCTGGGGTTGGATGGAGGGATCCAGGAGGGATGCAGGATGTGGAAATGATGGGGGACGTGGGGTGCAATGAAGGCCCTGGATTGGAATGCAGGGACTGAGAAAGCAATTGGAGAACTGGAAATAAAAGCTGGGGAGCGGATGGGGAACCTGGGAACGGGTGGAGGGAATCAGGATGGATGTCGGGACCCAGATTGGGATGGGGGGGATCCACGCAGGCCCGGGGGGGAGCTGGGACCCCCTGCTCCCCCTCCCTGCCCCACTGCCCGCTCACTTCTCACAGTGATGGTGATGGGGGCGCTGTGTTTCCGCACGCTGCCCGTCTCTGTCTGCACCTGGCAGCTGTAGGACCCCGAGTGGGATGGCAGCAGCGCCGGCATCTGGTGCTGGGGGGCCGATTGCGGCCCCCCCACCAGCTGCCCATCCTGGTAGAAGAGGTGCTGCAGGGAGACGTGGGGCCGCAGCGCGTTGGCGTGGGTGGAGCAGAGCAGAGTCAGGGCGCTGCCCTCGGGGGGCTCCTGGGGACCCTGCAGGCTCAGCTCCGGCACTGAGAAGAGCTCTGGGAAGGAACAGAGCAGGGGGTGACAGCAGCAGCGCTGCAGGGACCCCCCCCAAACCCCCCCAAACCCACCCCAAATCCACCCCAAACCCACCCCTGCTCGGGCTCACCTTGCACCACGAGGTCAGTTTGGGCAGATACCCGTCTTGTGATGAAGGAATACACGTAGGCTGAGCAGTGATAGCTGCCGCTGTGCTGCTGCTCTGCTGGGGACAGCAGCAGTTCGTCCCCACGTCTGTCCTGCAGCAGCTTCCTGTCATGGAAGAACTTCACCTGGCTGAGCTTTTTGTCTTTCCAGGCGCTGCAGCGCAGGGACAGCGAGTCCCCCTCCATCACTGCCTGTGTTGGCACCTGCAGCACCAGCCAGTCTGTGGGAGAGCGTGAGAGAGGGCGCTGGGATGCACCCAAAGCACCCCCTGCACACCCTGCACCCCCTGCCATGCACTGCTGTGCGTCCACCCCATGCAGACGTCCCCAAAGTGCCATGGCTGCACGCAGGGTGGCAAAGGTTGGGAATCCGAACCTCCCCCCAGCACCCATGGGTGCCGCTGGCTGCCGCTCACCATTAGAGGCTGTCAGGTCAACAGCAGGGCTGAGCTCAGAGCCTCGGGTCCGGCACTGGAAGCTGTATTTCCCTTTGCCACTCAGCTCCACTTGGTGGTGGTTTGATGACGTTTCCTTCCACCGCTGCCCATTCACGTACCAGGTGCTGGAGCTGCTCACGCTGGGCTCCCCGCAGGTCAGCTTCACACTCTGCCCCACGAACTGCGGTGTCCAGGGGGGGTCCATCGTCAGCAGGGGGGGTTGGGAGCCTGCAGGGGGGACGTGGGGACAGCAGCGTGCCGGGGACAGCAGACCGGGGGACAGCGGGGGGGGTCGGGGACTCACCAACGAGGCTGAGAAGCTGAGCTGGGGGAGAGAAGGGGACGGGGATGTGGGAGCTGCTGTCACCGTCACGTCAGCGCAGCGCCCATCCCTGCCCCGTGCTGCCCCCCCCCGCTGCCACTGCAATGGGGTTTGGGGACGCCTTCGTGGCAGCTGGGGGCTCCCAGGGGACGGCGCTGCATCACAGCCGCCCACATCCTGCCATCCCCGGGGCTGCACGCGGCACTGGAAGCCTCTGCCCACCCCCACGGCACCGTTGCCACCGTCCCCTCACTCCCGTGTTCCGTCCCCATGGCCCCGCTGCCGAATCCCCACCTCCCCAACCCCGCATCCCCACCTCCCCATCCCCGCGGTGCTCCTCCCCACCTCCCCATCCCCACAGCTCTGTGCCCACAGCACCCGCTGTCCCCTGGCCGGGTGGAGATGTGGAGCACAACGTGGACAAAGGGACGTGGTGACACAGGACCCCCCCCCCCACAGCACAACGGCCCCCTCCCCACGCTCACCCCACAGCAGCAGCGCTGTGCTCCTCGCCGTCCCCATGCACTCGCACTGAGGTGACAGCAGTGACAGCTTACATGTGATTTGAGGAAAAAGAGGAAGGAAACGGCAAAGTCCCCAAGTTCCCCACTGCCTCTCCCCCCCCCCCCCCCCCCCCCCCCACCGCCCCACACCCAGGGTTATGTGCTGGTGGCAGCGGGGTGGCACGGAGACATGGGGAGGAACTGGGATGGGGGACAGGGAATGGGATGGAGAGAAGGATGGGGATAGGGAAGGGTTGGGGACAGCAGGAATGGGGACATGGGGGTGGGAAGAGAGTTGGAGATGGGAATGAGAATGGGGTGGGAAGTGGGATGGGAACAGGGATGAGGATGGGGAAAAGGGCAGGGATGTAATGGGACAGCGGTGGGGATTGAGACAAGAATGAGGGCAGGGATGGGGATGGGGACAGGAATGGGAACTTGGATGGGGTTGGGGATCGGGGTGGCGATAGGGGAGGGAATTGGCGTGGGGACATGATGAGCATGGAGACATGGGCAGGGATGGGGATCGGGATGGGGATCAGCACAGGGAATGGGATGGAGAGAGGAAGAAGGATGGGGTCAGGAGTAGGGATGGGAACAGAGATGGGGATGGGGACAAAGACAGGGAAGGTGATGGGATGGGACCGGCACAGGGAATGGATGGAGACACGATGGGGACGGCGGTGGGGACACAAGCGGCTCCTCAGGGCTCCTCGCAGCCCTTCCCCCCCTCCAGCCCACGGGCGGCTCTCAGGACCCCGCATTCGTCCCCTCGGCTCCTCCCCAGCACGGCCGCCAGGGGGCGCCACAGCAACCCAGCACTGCAGCGCCCCCTGGCGGCCGGACAACGAGGTGGGCGGGGCTTAAAAGGGCGTGGCTTCGAAGGGGCGTGGCCACGCGAGCGGGAGCTCCATGCGGAGCGGATCGAATGGGTGCTGATGGGCTGGGGGTTGAAGTCCAGGGGTGTCAGGGCTTCGTGCTTTGTGCTGCAATATTTTGCCCTGTCCCCGGCCTGCCCTGCCCCCTCCATCACCGCTGCCCTCCTCCTCCCCATCTCCGTGCCACAGCAGTGCCACCCACGTGCAGCTCTGGAGCGATGCTATCGATGGGGTGGTTGGGCTGGTTGGGCTGCGATTTCCTGTTTCTTCACCACTAAAACGCATTTGAGAAGTGGACAGGGCTGCTGATGTCACCGCCGCCACTTCCATCCTTGTTGCAAGAGCATGGGGATGGCGAGAGGCGCAGAGCTGCTGCTGTGGGGTGAGCGTGGGGTGGGGGCCATTGTGGGATGTGCCCCCGTGCCCCACATCCCTTCTGTCCTGGGGGACACTGGGTGCTGTGGGAGTGGGGCCACGGGGAACAGAACGGTGAGGATGGGGTGGCTGTGCAAGAGGGGCATAGATGGGCGCAAAGGGAAGGGGATGTGGGGACAGCCAGCAAAGGGAGGGGAGGTGGGATGGCGTGATGGGTTTGGGGACACTGAGATGGGTGCTGCGCTGACATAACAGTGACAGCAGCTCCCACGTCCCCGTCCCCTTCTCTCCCCCAGCTCAGCTTCTCAGCCTTGAGAAAGCAAATGGGATCCTGGGCTCCATCAGCAGAGGGGGGGCAGCAGGGCCAGGGAGGCGATCGTCCCTCTGTGCTCTGCTCTCTGAGGTCCCGTCTGCAGCACTGCGTCCAGGGCTGGGGGTTCCCAGACAAGACAGGGAGCTGTGGGAGAGGAGCCAGAGGAGCCGCAGGGCTGAGCAGGGGCTGCAGCAGCTCTCTGCAAAGCCAGGCACACGCGCGCTTCTCAGAGCACTTCCGGGCCACGCGTTGCGGTCTGCAGTGCACTTCCGGTCAATCCGCTCAGAGTTCCGGTGCCTTTGAGCTGACTTCCGTTCTCTCCACGCCGTCTCCGTTTTTTCTCCTGCTGACTTCCGCTTTTTCCCCAGCCGACTTCCGCTGTTCCCCTGCTGACTTCCGCTTTTTCCCCTTTGACTTCCGGTCTCTGGGTGCTGACTCGGCCTTCCTCCGGCGCGGAGGTTGGGCGCTCCGCGGGGCTCGGGGGGCGGCCGGGGGCGGAAGAGGGGGGAGGGGGGCTGGTGCTGCGGCCCCGGGCCTGGTGGCTGGAGCCGGGTGGGTTTTGGGTGTTGGGGGCCGCACGGAGGATCTCCGGGCACCCGGTGCGGGCTGCGAGGCCTCCAGCGCCCGGCCCGGCGAAAAGGCCGCAGTTTGATGCCATTCTGTCTTCCTTTGCCTCCAGATGAAGCTCCTGATTCTTGCTGCGTTTGCCCTCTTTTCTGTGGCCCGCTGTGAGGAGGGCGCCAGGCTGCTGGCCTCCAAGTCTCTGCTCAACAGATACGCAGTGGAGGGCAAAGACCTCACTCTGCAGTACAACATCTACAACGTCGGCTCCAGGTAAGCTTGCTCCGTGCTTCTCATGTTCTGTGTGTGCCTGGAGGACCTGTGAGGATCTCTGGGCTCCATGATGCACTGTTATCCTCCTCCCCCAGCTGGGAGCTCAGCACAGGGCACGAAGGCTGAGTTCCTCCTTCTGGAGCTGTTGTGTCTGCCTGCCATGGAGCAGAAACTCATTTCATCTTGTGATACTTCTCTGCCCGTTCGCACAGAATCTTTCTTTGCTTCGTGAGCATTTCCTTTGCGTCCAGTTCCCTTTTTTGCAGCTTCATTTTGCTCTCCTCTTTCTGCTTGTAACACACCAACCCCCCTTGCTTCTCTTTGTGCCCTTTTTCTTTCATGAATCACTTTCCCCAGCAGCCGAACCTTCCCTGTGGGGCTGCCATCCCTTCATTCAGTGCAGCACCCAGCTGTGACTCGCTTCTTATCCTGTTTTTTCTTTTCTTGTTGCATTCAGTGCTGCTTTAGATGTGGAGCTGTCGGATGATTCCTTCCCCCCGGAGGATTTTGGCATCGTCTCTGGGATGCTCAACGTCAAGTGGGACAGAATTGCTCCGTATCTTTTCACGTTTTGGGTTTATTTTCCCTCCCAATGCTCAGTTTTGCCTCCAGACATCTCATAGTTCTCCCATCCTCCTTCAGTGTCACAGAAATGACACCATGCCAGACCTGGGGGGAGGTGCTGGATGCAAACCTCTCCTCTTGAGGGTGCCTTAAGAAGCAAACAAACCAAACTTGCTTGCAGACAGACCCAAATCAGTTCGTATGGTTGGGGAAAAAGGGGTTGGTTGGGTCAGCTTTGGGTGGGCCTGGGTACCTGTAACTACAGAGAGTCCTTCTACCCAAACCTTCACGTTCTTTCCTTTGGAGTGCCTCTGTTTTCATTAACTTGTGGCCCTCAGGGCAAGCAATGTGTCCCACACGGTGGTTCTGCGGCCTCTCAAAGCTGGATATTTCAACTTCACCTCTGCTACCATCACCTACCTGGCACAGGAGGGAGGGCAGGTCGTGGTGAGTGGCTCGGCTGCGCGTGGGATCTCTCCCCACGCTGAATGGTGGAGCTGCCTTTCCGTGTCCCATGTGCTGGGGGATGCTTCCTGTCCCTGCAGTCTCAAATTCACATGCTTTGCTGTGAGCAGGGAAGGTGGCAGATCCTATTCCTCTGCCTTTGCTTTTTCAGGTTGGTTTCACAAGTGCTCCTGGGCAGGGAGGAATCCTGGCTCAGCGTGAGTTCGACAGGAGGTTCTCCCCTCATTTTGTGAGTATCTGCTGGCTGGGGATTGCAGTTGCTCTGTGCTCAACCCCACACACGGAGTGGGATCGCAGTCAGTCCACATCGGCGGCCCAGAAGGGCATCGCTGAGCAGGAGAGTGGCTTCCATCCCAGCTCAGAGGAGCAGTGCAGGATTTCAGCAGGAGGGAGGGCGATCCCATGGTTGTTTTGACTTGGAATGGTTTCTTCCAGCTGGACTGGGCGGCCTTTGGTGTGATGACTCTGCCCTCCATTGGGATCCCGCTGCTGCTGTGGTACTCGAGCAAGAGAAAATACGACACCCCCAAGACCAAAAAGAACTGAGAGTGGCCCCGTGGGCCCCCCCAGAGCTCAGGAGAGAGCAGACAGAGCAGCACAGAGCAGCACCGAGGTGCAGGGGTGTTCAGATCAGCAGCAGCAGCTCCTGCAGAGGGCTGCATTTCAGCCCTGCTGGTGAGAGGGAGCCCCTGCTGGCGCCGCTCTGCTTTTTCTCACTCTTATTGCAGTGAAGAGTTGCTGGTTTGGTTTTTCTTTGTTGCTCTGGTGAGGGTGGAGGTGTGTGGAGGTACGGAGGATTTTGTAATAAATGCCCTGAAAGAAGCCTGCCTTTCTGTCACTGGGAGCAGCTGAGGGGCGTGCAGATGGGAAAATAAATGCACACATCATTCCGGCAGGAAGAAGAACGGAAGAGGAGAAGCAGTGGAAGCGTGGGGAGCAGAACTGGCTTTGCAGGGTCCGTTCCTTTGCTCCCTGCAGGACTGGTGCTTGGCAGAGCTGCCCAGCAGCCCCAGGTTGTCGTTCCTTGCTTCCCTGCTGTGAGTGAATCCCGCTGCAGCTCCGGGTTGGACGCTGGTTTGTGCTTTTCCTCTGGAGGTGCTGCGGTGTGACGAGGAGCATTGCAGGGGGGCAGGGTGAGGTGGGATGGGGAGCCCTTGGAGATCTCTGGGGCGCGTGGGGAAGCCCCTCATTCACCCAGGAGCAAATGGAGGAGGTCTGGGAGTAGTTTAGAGCGCCCTGGAGTGCGGCAGGGCTACCTGGAAGTGTCTGTTGTGTCCTAAGGTCTGCGTATGCTCTGGGGTACCTGAGAGCACACTGAGGGGTCTCAGAAGCCTCAAAGTCGTCCCAGAACACACAGAGGAGCTTTGAGGGTTCTGTGGGACGCCGTGAAGTCAGCAAAGCACCAACAAGGAAACTCCAGCGCTGCTGCCAAAGGCGACAAGAAGGCAAATCCCAGCAGCGCAGGGACGAGGAGACAGCGGAGCAGGGGGCGCACGGCTGGAGCCCTTCTGGCACACGATGGAGCCTCCAGAGCTCCTCACAGATTCAGAGGATCGCTGAAACTCATCTTTTGTTTTTATTTTCTGAACAAAACCCTGCGATTTCGTAGATACCAGGCAGAGAGAAAATCACGGCCGCGTCAGCGCAGCGATCGGAGAGGAAGGCGCCATCTCCGTTTTAACAACTGTTGCCATTGCAATTTTACTATGGGGAAAAAAGGACAAATCACCTTTTTTTTTTTCTTTTTCTCCTCCGAGAAGCCGGCGGTGGGCGCCTGAAAACCATCCTCTAAAATCCTCCCACCAGCTCCACACAAAGAACTGCACCCCTAGGGACAGAAGCTGATTCTTGCAGGCAGTGATTGACAGAAGCTGGGCCGGAGGCCTCCCCAGGCACGGAGGGCTGCTCCTATATCTGTGGGTACGAGGCGTAGCTGGCGATCCCGCAGTGGTTCGAGTGGTTCCTTGACATGCGGATGTAACCCCCGTCGCCAAAGCGTTCGCCCCAACTTTTGGGAGAGGAAACAGGTTAGAAAAGCGAGATTCCCTTCCCTGCAAAGCGCCTGCTGTCAGCCCCCCGTGCTTCCCAGGTCTCTGCCACGGCTTTTTGCAGGCGGCGATGAAACCGTTCTGTGCTTTCATCAACCTCTGCACGGCATTTTGAACTCGATTCTTTTTCATAAGGGGAATTTGGGGGGTGTGAAGTGTCCTAAAGGCATTTTGAGTCCCTTCCCGCTGCCGGAAGGACGTTGGGTTGTGACAGAGCCGAGCGCCAACCATGGGGAGCGACACAAGGACCGAAATCGACCTTGTCCCACAGCGGCAGCCCCACTGCGCTCTGCGTCCAGCTGCTCTGTATGAGCACAGCGCGCTCGTGTCGGGGTTGGACTCAATGACCTTTAAGGTTTTCTCCAACCTGAGCGATTCTATGACCATCAGACGTTGTCAGGGCAGTGGATGAGGGCAGCCCACTGCGCACCCGCAGCCCCTTCACCTGTTTTTCACCAGCCAGAAGTCCTTCTCGTTGAGGGCGCCGTACCCAACCACCAGCACGCCATGGTTCACCTCCTGTGTGCAGCGCGGGTCGTCGTAAACCCCTGCAAAGCAGCAGAGCTCGGAGGGAGCGGAGCCCCCCAGGTGCAGCGGGACCAACGCTGAGCAACGCCTCCGTCTGAGCCCTGCGCCCCCATTTTTGCCCAATTCAGCCCAGATTTCAGCTCCGTCAGCTTTACACTGAGATACAGAAGACAAAGGCGTGACCGCGGATCTGCATGGCCCCAGGTAAAGGGGAAAGGGTCGTACCTGACTGGTACAGGAAGAAGGTGGGCTGTGCTGCATCGATGGCGACGGAGATGGGCCCAATGTTGGCAACAGCATCTTTTAGGGCATCTTCATCAGCGTAGGGCAGCTCCACGTACTTGGAGCACGTGGCAGCGCGCGAGGAAACGTTGTACTGGCACGTCCCATTCTGGTGGGAACAAGAGGAAGGTGTGGAAACCACCAGGAGACCTCGAAGCCTTCAGGTGCTTCAGCCCTTCCACCCTGCACCACCACCCCGTGCTTTGCTTCTCTTTGACACCATTTTTCTGTGCACAGAGTTACGGAGTAGACGGATGAATCACAGAAACCATGGGATCACAGCACGGGAAGGGACCGCAAAGATGTAGAGCCGCAGAACCACGGGATGGTTTGGTTCAGAGAGACCTTGGAGTCGGGATTTTAGAGTGTTTGGGTTGGAAGGGATCTCGAAGGTCACGGAACCCTGGAATCCCAGCAGTTTGGGTTGGAAGGGACCTCAGGGATCACAGAACCGTGGGGTTCTGGAACGGCTGCGGTGGAAGGGACACAGAGCAGCTTCCCTCTGACCTCCTTCCAGCACCGTGTTTTGAGGCCACTGAGTCACTCCGGGTCATTCCGGGTTTTGTCTTTTGACATCCAGACTCTCGGCACTGGGGCGTTAATTTGCTGGTGGCTCAGCAGTGTGACGCAGCACGGGGACAGCATTGCGACGGGCGACATCAGAAATGTCCTTCGCTGGAGGAATCGCCACCTTGGCTCTGCTTTCTGTTGAGGAGAGCCGCCTACCTGAGCCGTGTAGGGGTAGGATTCCTCCGAGTCGATGCCGCCGTTGTCTATGATGTACTGGAAGGCGTTGGTCATGAAGCCCCCGCTGCAGCCCTTGTTGCCGTACATCGTGGAGCAATCCACCAGGTTCTGGGTGCTCAGCGACACCAACTTCCCCGTTTTCAGCTTCACCTGAGCCTCGAGGGCTCCCACGGCACTGAACGCCCAGCACGCCCCGCAGGCGCCCTGCAAGAACCCGCGTTGGTGCTCAGCGCTGCCTTCGGGCCCACGGGACGGGAAGGGATGGGGAGAGAACTTCCCACCTGGTTCTTCACCTCTGTGACGCAGCCCTTCTCCCTCCAGTCCACGGCATCCGGGGCGCCGCCGCGTCGGTGGTACCTGGAGGTCCTGCTGTGCCCAGAGGGGACGCGGAGCCCCGTGAGGAGCGCAGCCACCTCCTCGCTGGTCTGGGAGGAGAAGCAGCAAGTCGTGACGTCCCTCCCTCTGTCACGACTCACACAGAGCGCGCGGGGGCTGAGCTTCCCTCGAGATGCGGAAGTTCGGGGTTTGGGGGGAGACCTGTGGCTTTTTCTTTAAACGGATACGTGGGTGTTTAAGTCCCAACCATTCACTGGAATGGGCAAGAAATAGAAAGCATGGAGCTGGGCTCCAGCAGCTCTGTGTCTCACGGAAACACCCCGCAGCCCCGGGGAATGGAGAGGGGACAATTTGCGCACGTCACGGCCGGGACCGGGGCCACGCACCACAAACACTGCAGTAAGAGGGAGATTTCCTCACACCCTGTTGCCTCACAGGGCAGTGTGGCATGGCGAGGCCATGGGAGGCCGCGAGGAGAGGAGGGGATGAATCACAGAGTCAGCGAGGTTGGAAAAGACCTCCAAGATCATCAAATCCAACCGTCAACACACGGCCGCCGCCAGCCCCGCTCACAGAGCCGTGGATTCGTTAAGGTTGGAGAGGAGCCCCAAGGCCACCATCCAACCCCAATCCACCCCCTGCTGCCGCTCGCAGAACCATCAAGGCTGGAAATGACCTCAAGATCTCCAAACCCAACCCAGCCCCACCATCCACGTCCCCCGGCGCCGCGTCTCCGTGCTCCTCGCACCCCTCCAGAGGTGGTGACCCCCCCTGCACAGACAGCCCTTCCCATTAAGGCTCTCCCTGCCACCCCACGGCGCCCCTCACCATGTCCCCCATGTGGTTCATGCCCAGCTGGTAGGAGTGCAGCCCCAAGGAGTGCTCCAGGTTGTGCAGCGTCACCAGGCGCAGGTTCTTCTCCCACGTTGCGCGGCGCTGCCCTTCCTCAATCTGAAACCAAACCCCACCCCACACATCAACCCCTGGGGCAGCCGCTGCGCCCCCACGGCCGACCTCCCCCCATACCTGATGGCGGTACGCCTTCCCATGGGCTTTCTTCCAGAGCTGCCAGTGCTGATCCAGCGTAGGGTCTGGGTGCCCCATCGCGGCCAGCAGAGCGAGGAGGGCAGCGATGCAGCGCAGCAGCTCCATGTTGTACAGCAGAGTGGGGCTGCGTGTGAGCAGTGAGTGTGAGTGTGAGTGTGAGTGTGAGCACTGCGTGTGAGTGTGAGTGTGAGTGTGAGCACTGCGTGTGAATGTGAGTGTGAGTGTGAGCACTGCGTGACAGAGCCGGTTTGGTGAGGGAGGAGCGGGTCGGGGTGTCATCACAGCGTGATGCCGACTGCCCCGTCCTGACCACAGCACCGCAGCTCTGGGATGGACTCAAAGAGCCCTCGGGGGGAGGTTGGTCGGGTGTCACACAGACGGCGACACATCTGGGTGCAGAAAGGTGTCTGGACACACAGACAGCCAGACACGGGGGCACGGCTGGACAGAGGGACACAGCCAGACATGGAGATGCATCCAGGCACAGGGATGTATTTGGACACACGGACACATCGGACACACGGACACATCGGACACACGGACACAACAACCTCTGAGCACCGCCCTCCTTCCCTCCCCACGCCGCTCCCTGCGCCCCATGGCCGCTCACTCAAACCTGTGATTTTCCAGCACCTCCCCCCCAAAAAAAAGAAGAAAAAAAAAGGCAAAGCCATGAGAGCCCCGTTGCCCCCCATCCCCCAGGAGGGGCTGCTGCCCCCCCATGGATCCAGGCAGGAGGGGCTGCACCCCACGCTTTCACTTCCCCATCAAGCAGCTCCCAGAGCTCCGCACCGCAGATGCGACGCACGAACCTCAGCAGGACCCAATGGTGGTGGGGGGCGCAGCCACGTCCGGGGGGCACCTGGGGGTCCCCGCTGTCCCCTCACCTCACACCCAGCGCCCGCAGCGCAGCGAATCACGTGAGCCCAGAAATGAGGAAACGCTTTGATTTCATTTTCGCTTTGCTGAGCCCGACCCGCCGGCTCCCATTGGCGGAGCGCAGCCATCGCTCCTCACCAAATCACCTCTCGCCACCACGAGACCCAAACGAGCGCACGGCAAAAATCACTTTTTCTGCTCGACTTGACCAAAAATCGCTGCTTTTTCACTTGCTTTGACCAAAGGGCCGTACAAAAAAATCACCTTTTTTTGCTCGCTTTGACCAAAGTCGGCCGTTTCTCCTTGCTTGACCGAAATCACCGTTTTTCACCCCAACAGAGCGAGGCGGCCCGCAAAGAACGCGTTCTGTGTCGATAAGGGGAGCAGGAGGGGACATTTGGGGGGAGACAACCCCCTGCCCCCCGCTCATCCACCACCACCCCGACCCCCCCCCCCCCAACGCCCCCCCCCCCCCCCCCCCCCCCCCATAACGCAGAGATTCTCCACGCTCACAGCTTTCTCCCCAACCACTTTTATTTGAAAAACAAAACCCCATCGCCCTCCGCATCCCCCAAGGGACGCAGAGATGAGATGCACTTTGGGGGGGGGTTCCAGCCCCCCAGCCCCACTCCTGCAGACGGACGCTGGCGCCGCTCACATTTTGGGGAAGCTGGCGAGGTTGGCGATGCCGCAGGCGTTGTTCATATTGCGGGCCAGCAGCACGTAGCCCTTATTGCCCCATTCCGTGCCCCAGCTGTGCAAGGGGGGGCGCAGCATCAGTTGTTGGCCACCCCAAGGCCGGGGGGTGAGGATGGGGGCTGGGGTCCCGTTCCGCCATACCTGTTCTTGAGGATCCAGTGCTTGGTGCCCTTCTGCGCGCCGTACCCCACCGCCAGCACCGCGTGGTTGATGTTCTCTGCGTTGCAGCTCGTGTCGTAGTACACCCCTATGGGGGGGCAGAGCTCCGTGCCTCAGTTTCCCCCTGCACAGAGGCGTTCCCTCACCCCTCACCCCCTCCGTGTCTCAGTTCCCCCCACCGACCCCAACCAGAGGGATCAGATGGGATCCCCCGTCCTTTGTCCCCTCCACACCTCAGCCTCCCCCCAGCAGACGGTTCCCCCAACCTTCACTCCATCTACGCCTCATTTTCCCCCACTGCCCCCCACGATTGGGGTCCCCCCGCCCCTCACCACGGCTGTAGAACTGGAAGGAGGGCAGGCTGGCATCGATGCCCACCGACACGGGCCCGATCCTGGCCACAGCACGCTTCAGAGCTTTCTCGTTGCCTTCGGGGATCTCCCGATAGCCGCGACATTTGGCCGCCTTCCCGGTGGGGCTGTACATGCAGCTCTCATCCTGCAGGACCCCCGGGGCCGAATGAACCACGGCGATGGGGGCACACAGGAGATGAACCCACAGGCTGCCCCCCGGCCCCACAGACCTGCCCGATGTAGGGGTACGCGTCCTCCGAGTCGATGCCGCGGTTCTGCCGGACGTACTCGAAGGCGTTGGTCATGTAGCCCCCGCCGCAGCCATTGTTGTTGGAGACGCAGTCCACCAGGTTCTGGGGGCTGAGCGAAAGCAGTTTCCCCGTCCGACGCTTCAGCTGCCCTTCCAGAGCTCCCACCGAGCTGAAAGCCCAACACGAACCGCACTGCCCCTGTGGGGATGCGGGGTGACAGCGTGGGGTGACGCGGGGGGGCGCCACGTGGGGCAGAGCCCCATCGGCGCCGCGCTCACCTGGTTCTTAACGGGGGTCACGTAGCCCTTCCGCCTCCAATCCACAGCCGGTGGGGCTCTGCTGCTCCAGTCGGGGACGTACAGGGTGCCATTGGGGCGCGGGTGGCTGCGGGGGACCCTCAGCCCCGTCATCGTCCTCACCACCTCCTCACTGGTCTGGGGGTGGAGAGGGGCAGGGGGGGGGCGGCCCTGGGTCTCAGCAGCACCAAAGGGTGCTGCTGCCGTCCCCACTGCTACCCCACACCGTCCCCACCGCTGTCCCCATTGCTGCCCCCATCTCTGTCCCCGCCGCCATCCCCACTGCTGTCACCTGCCCCCATCGTGGTCCCCATCGCTGCCTCCACCGCCGTCCCCACTGCTGTCTCAATTGTCCCCACCTGTCCCCGTTGCTGCCCCCCGGCCCCACTCACCAAATCCCCCAGGTGGTTCATGGCCAGCTGGAAGGAATGCCTTCCCAGCGCGTGCTCTGCGTTGTGGGCGTTGATGTAGCGCAGGTTTTTCTCCCAAATCAATCTCCGGGATATTTCATCCTCCTGGGACGAGACGGCGCTGGGACGGACGGATGGACGGACACCAGCCTCACCCCAGCACCGACCCCATAGGGACACCACCGCCCTGCAGCCCCCAGCCCCACACCTTGCCGTTGTACTGCTTGCTGTGCTTTCTCTTCCATAAGTCCCATTGGGCGTCCAGCTCCGGCTTGGGGCGCAGCTGTGCCACGGCCATGGGGAGCAGCAGCGCCAGCAGCGCGGGCCTGGGGGGCAGCAGAGTGATGAGGGTGGGGGGGTCTGAGCCCGGCGGTGCTGGGAATGGGGGGGGCAGCATCCCACACACCCCACAGCTGCAGGGAGCGGAGCCCACGGGGACGCAGAGCCCAGAGCTGCAGCGGCGTCGGCTGTAAGGGACCCTCAGCACTGCTCACCATGGGGGGATCCAGGACCCCCCCCCCACCATCAGATTTGGGGATCAGGACCCCGACCCCCCCCACAGTCAGATGTGGGCCAGGCCCCGCTGGCTGCATGCAAGCATCCCATGATCGGGGACAGCTGGTTCCCATTAAAGCTCTGCTGGAACCCACATCAGGATCCCGTGGCTGGGCAGAGGGGGGCTGGGGGGGAAACCATCAGATCCCCCCCCTTCAACCCCCAACCCCCCCCACCCACACCCCAGCACAGGGCAGGCAGCACTGCAGCCCCCAACCGCTCTCTGTGCCTCAGTTTCCCCTCCCTGACCCCAACCAGCAGAAGCTCTGGCTGTCGCCACATTGACCCCATTCCCCCCATCCCCACTGGGCCGCCCTTCCCTGGGGGGGCAGGGGAAGGTGGGGGGGCACAGCAGCCCCCAGCCTCACCGCAGCATCGCTCTGCCAGGGATGGAAGCTCAGTGCAGACAGGACGGAGCTGCTGCTGCTTCGTTGGCTCTTTTATGGCGTCGGATTGAGGAAGTGGAGGCAGCTGGAAAATGTTGGCAGTGGAAGCGAACGGCAGCGGAGGGAGGGAGGAGACCGAGGGGAAGGGGGGGCAGCCCCCCCCCCAATGCTTTCACATGATGCTGCTGTGGGGTGAGGGCTGAGTCACCCCATAGAGGGGAACCACCGCCACGGCCTGGGGTCACTGCTGAGCAGGGGGGAGTCGGGGCGCCCCGGGGGGTGCAGAGATGGGGGTCCAGGTAGCGGCCCTGGGGGGAGCAGGCAGCGGTTTTGCTGCCCGCCTTCCTTCACTCACTGCCCCATGGGGGTCACACACTGCAGTCGCCCCCCGCCCTCCTCCTCTGCCCCAGATGGGGATGAAGAGTCCCAGCGTGGGGCTGTGGGGGGCAGACGGACAGACGGACCCCCCCAGGGCTGAGCTGTTCCTCCATCAGCACTGAGTCAGCTCAGCACGGGGCTCTGACTGCGCCGCGTGTGACCACAGGGTGACAAAGTGTGGGGGGGGGGGGGCCCCGGGGGGCCCCCCGGCCCCCGGGGCGGGGGGCACGGAGACACACGGCAGCCCCAAGGGAAGGGCTGGGAAGATCCTCCGTCCTTTGGAAAGGCTTCAGCTCCGCGCCCCCCAGCACGAGGAGGAAGAAGCAGAAGCAGCTCCTCGGGGTCCCCATCGCTGCCATGGGGCAGCAGTGGAAGACTCAAGGCTTTCCCCCCCTGCTGGCAGCTCCGGGGCTTCCCTCCAGCCCTGCTCGTCGAATCCCCGGCTCCCGGCCCCCCCCCCCCCCTCCCCAGCCCACCCCCCCCTGCACAGCACAGGAGCTCCGTGGTGGCAGCAGAGGCACCCAACGTCCTTTTGTGTTTTTATAGAAAAGTCGCGGTAGAGAAGAGGGAAATACAAACAGGAAAAGCCGCCTCGGGAGTCTGGGGGACAAAAGGGGGGCGGCCGCCCTTCAGTCCCACTGAGCGCCCCGGGCAGCACGGAGCCTCCAGCAGGCAAAGAGTTCACAAAGTTCAGCAGCCTTTGAGCCCCACCAGAGCGGCGCCTTTGCTTCCCTTAGGCGCAGGTTTAACGTTACAGCGCGCGGCCGCTCCGCCCCCAGAGCTCCAGTTTTACTCTGAAAAAGAAGGGAAGATGTTCAGCTCGGGGAACTCCTCGTTGTTGTAGTTGGGGCCTTGGTCTCCCAGCATGGTCAGCATGTCCTGCGGGGCAGAAGAAGAGAGGCTGGGTTAGAGCAGCACGGCAGAGCGCGGGCACTGCGCCCCCAGGGCCCCAAACCCCCCCATCTCCCCCCCCCCGGGACTCAGCCCTCCGTGCCCAGGCCCCCACCCCACGTTTCTGTGCTGCCCTGAGGCTGTGGGGCAGAGGGGAGGGGGGTGGCTGGGTGAACCTGGGCGCTTTTCCCAGCCGTTCTGTGGCGCTGTGCCCCGCGCAGCTCAGCCCCACGCCTTTAGGGCCGCTTTGTGCTTTTTGTTTTTTACATCACGGGGTTTTTGCTGCTTGCTCTCTTTAAACGAGAGCCGTAAGGGCCGACCTGGCAGCAGAACCGGCGGGATTTCACGCCGATCGTGGGACGGCAGGGGACAAAGCCGACCGTGCAGAGCAGCTCCGCCCCCCGCCCGCAGCCCCGCCAGCGACCCCCGAGCCGCAGCCCTTCCCGGAAGCCACGGACGGACGGATGAGCAGCCGGGCGCCCGGACACGAGCAAAACCCCTCGGCCCCCGCGTCCTCGCAGCCAGGGAACAAAGCGCGGCCTTACCGAGAAGGCCTCGGGTTGGCCGGGCTGCTGCACGTGCTGCTCCCCCGGCGCCGCGCCGTGCTGCTGGCCCTGCCACTGCGGCCACATCCCCACTCCTTCGGCCGCCGCCCGGGGCTGGAACGAGGCGGGGGCCTGCGCTGCATCTGCGGCTGTTTAACAAGGAAGCAATCAGCAGAGTTTCCTGCCGCAACCGACGGTCGTTTCTCCGATCGCCCCGGGACCGCGCTCCAAGCGCCGCCCTGAGCCGCATCAACAGGACGGGACCCCGGGAAACGCCGGCGCGCAGCCGGAGCTGCAGGGTGCCGGAGCTCCGCGCTTCCTCCCGCTCAGCCCCAGCACTGACGGGGCTTCACCTGAAGCCGTCGCCCCGAGGCGGCGCACTGGGAGCGGCCGGGCTCAGCATCCGCGCGTCCCCGACACGCAGAGCACCGAGGGCCCCCGGCCGCTTTACGAGGGCTGCCCGCTGCCCCCCTCGCTGCACTCACTGAAGCCCACGCCGCGGCCGGGGAGGTTTGGGAACGCAGAGCTGCCGGGGGAAGCCGCGGAGCCTGGAGCTGCCATGGGGCTGAAGGAGGACGGGGTGCCCTGGAACGTCCCCATGCTGAAGGAAGGAGGCCGGGCCTTCACTGCTTGCGAGGCCACCTGCTGTAAGGCAGCAAGAAACGGGGGGGGAAGGAGACGTGTTCGCTTGGACCCGGTCTGAGGCAGGGCGAGGCGCTGCTGGCCCGGCTCCGGTCTGCACGCACAGCGGTGCCCCCCCCCCTTCTGCCGAGCGGAGCAGCGCTCCATTGCAGGCTCTCCAAGCTCCCATCTCCGCCTGCAGGAACCCCAGCAGCGCCCAGGAGGCAAACGGTCCCGCAGCGCCTCAACGCTTCCATCGGAGCAGCAACGTTTCTCCCCCTCACCCCCCCTCCCTCCAGCATTTCCTCAGCGGAAACACCGGGAAGGAGCTCAGCGAAGCCCAAAACCGCAGGGAAGCGTGGGGCCAAAGGGGGGGCGAGGGGCGGCCCAGCGACGCAGCCCAGCAGCCGCCGGCTCCGCAGCTCTGCAAGCCGTTCCGACCTCCAAGCAAGCGGCAGAAGCACCCAGCGGAGCTCAGCCCCGAGCCGGGCGTTCGGGCTTTGCTACCTGGGCCGTGAACGCCGGTCGGGTCCCGGCCGCCCAGCTGCTCCCGCTGACCTGAGCGGGGCTGGCGTGGCGTGAGATCTGAGCCAGGATCCGGCCCGACGCCGCCGGCTGCTGCTGGACGATGTTCACCGGAGGCACCAGGCTGCCGCTCCTGGGGGGGGAAAAGCCCTCAGCTGGACTCGGTGCATCGCGGGCGGCAGCGGCGCAAACAGCCGCAGCGCTTCCCCCCGGCGCCCCGTAGGCACAGCAGCTGCCGGCCCGGCTCGGTTCTGCAGCGACGCCCCGCGCATCCAGAGGCGCCGCCGCTCCGCGGCCCCGGTTCGGTCAGCAGGGGAAAAGCAGGGCGGGAGCGGCGCGAGGAGCCGAAAGCAGCCGGGCCGGCGGGGGGGCGCCCAGCTCCTCTTCCCCTCCTCTGTGCCCCGGCCCCGCAGGGGCTGCCCTGCATTTCCGAGCGTTTGCAGACGGGGGCGAAGCGGGATGGGAAAAGGGCAAAGGCCGAGGAGGTCGGCGAAAATGGCGGCGCAGGAAAAGCTCACCTGAAGCCGTCAGCGGGCCGCGACGGCGTGAAAGCGTTTCCCTGCGGGAACAGCGGGGGAGCGGCAGGCAGCGAGCTGGCAGGAATGGCTTTGTTCTGGTCTGCGGAGAGAGGCCGGGTGAGCGGGGCGGAGCGGCTCCGAAGCGCTGAGCGCGGCGGCTCCTTACGTGGGACTGCAGGCAGCCCCGGAGGAGCCCCATTAATTTGCTGTTCTCTCGTTTTCTAACAAGCTTTGAATCCAGGTCCCCCGGGGCTCGAGCGCCCGCTCAGCCCGCAGACACCGGGACCCAACGCAACGGGCGCAGAGCCGAACCCAGGCGAGGCGAAGCCGCAGCACCGCGCACCTGCATTGATGCCGCTGTAGATCTCCCCGAACCTCGGGTCCCTCTCCTGGTTGAAGAGGCTCTCCGCCTTCTCCAGCGGCTTGCTGTGCTCCGGCCCGGCGGCGGCGGGCTGCACGGGGACCTGCAGAGCGGAAGCGCTGAGCGGCGCAGGGGGGGCAGCGCTGCAGCCGGGCCGCTCCGCAGCGCAGCCGGGAGGAGTCGAGCCGCCCTCCCTGCCCGAACCCCTCCCGGAAAAGGGGGGGAGCTGCTGACAGCGCAGCCGAAGCCCCGATTTACCTGCTCGTACCCGGACAGGCTCTCTCTTCCTGGGACCACTTCCAACTCTGCCTGCGGCGGCGGTGGCTGCTGCTGCCTGGAATAGAAAGCGTTTGTAACAGGAGAAGAGCGGCCGCTAAAAGCCTTTGCTGGGGGCACGGATCCTCTGCGGTCCCACCAATGGCTGATGAGCCCAGAGGAGTTCACTGCTGCAGAGAGGAAGGTGAGGGGAGGAAAGCTACTGGACAGGAGGGCAGAACCGGCGCGGGAGGCACAGTGAAAGGAGCCGAGCACCTCCTGACCTTGAGGGCAGCTGCGCTGTGCCCATCTCCAGGGGAAGGCTGACACTCTGCCCCAGCTGGGGCCTCTGCATTGGGTTTGACAGGGCAGGTCGAGATTCCTGGCTTGAGTTCCTTTAAAGCAAAGAAAAAGGGGGAAAAAAAAGCAAACAGATTTAAAAAGTACCAAATGAGAGCAAACAGCTGGGTGCTGCCTGCAGGAGGACGTGTCTGCATCAGCCTGCAATGGAGCTGCTTTTGCAAAAGCTCTTCCAGTGAAGGATCCTTCCTCCCAGCCTCCTGTCCCTGAGAGCAGGGCTGGCCATGGAACACAATTTAAGGATCCATGGGCTCTGCCCCCTCCAGCCCAGAGCAGGGAGCAGCCTGCACCACCTCTGTGCCACTGCTGCAGCACAAGCAAAGGCCGGAGGGGCCTACAAACGCCCCACGTTTCCCATGTAAATCTACACCACTGCAGAGCTACAGCCTGCAGCCACCGCAGCACCTCCAGCCTCCGACCCACACCTCGTGCAGCTCTTTATGCTTCCTGTTAACTCTCAGCAGTCATTTTCCTCCCAGAAGGAAGGAGCGGAGGTGCAGCGCTTTGTCAGCAGCTCTTCTGCAAGCTGCTGGCTCTGAAGCGGCGCCCGATCCTGGAGGAGGAGCAACGCCACAGCAGCAGCCCAGCAGAGATGCACACAGCTAAACTGCACCACAAACAGCCTGCTGCCCCCAGCCCGAGCCTGACAGCACTTCTGAGGGTGTGAGCATGGATGTGAGGATGGAAATGCGTGGAATGAGCGAGCTCAAAGAGAGACCTCTGCTGCCAGGACAGAGACGAAGGCCTGCTCTCAGCCCAGGGCTCTTAAAGCCCAAGGGATCTGGCTGACGCTGCTCAGCTCAGAGCTTTCTCATCACAAGCTGGGGGAAGGAAGAAGCGCTACCTGAGCTCCTGGTTCTTTCCTCACCTCAAATACAACCCAAATCCTGCCTTTCTTTCCACCTGCCCCCAGGCACAAGCAATCCTGACTGACTTGCAGAGGTCCCAGCTGAGGGCCTGAAGCTACGAACCCCAGCCAGGAGGTGTTTTCCCTTGTTTCCCTTTGCTCTGTAAGGGCCTCGCAGCTCCTCCAGGGCACGGGCAGCACTCTGATGGAGCACTGTGTGCTGCTGACACAGCGAGACAGATGGGGGGAAAAGGAGAGCAGCACGAGGGCAGCCTGCCCCAAGCACCGCTCAGGAGCTGCTTCTGAATCTGAGCACAAACTACAGGAGAAAAATAAGCACTTAACTTCCTACCATCAACTGTCCTGCTGTGGAAAAGCCACCCTGGAGCAGAGGATGGGGCAGCAGGAGCTGCGTTCGGCTGCGAGCCCCCCTAACATCAGAGCTCTGAATGCAAACAGACAGAAACTTGCTCCAGCTACCAGGGCGAAGCGAGGCGCTGCTGCAGCGCAGCCCTGCCTCTGAGCCAAAGGCTCCTCCTGCACTCTGCAGTCCTTCGGCATCTGCCTCAGCCCAGCCAAAGGGCGCCCAGGGGTTTCCTGGCTCCTGCAGGGCCTGCACGCACTGAGGGGAAGTTGGTGAGGGAGAGGCCGAAGCTCCTGCGGCTCCGTGCTGCCGTTTGCTCTGGGCGAAGCCCTGGGGTTGGTGTGCTACCGCCGGGCGGCGAGGCGTTTCCATGTACATACTTGACGTTGGTGTTGGTACAGATGATGTACTCAATTTCATCCGAGTAGGGGTTCTGGAAGGTAAAGGAGCTGGTTCTCATCCAGAGCCATTCCCGGTTTTTGGATCGGAATCGGAACATGACTGACAGAACCTGGCCTTTTAACTTCACCACCTAAAAAAATGTAACGCCATCAGTAGGACCTGATCAAAGAAGGGGTTGAAGAGCAACTTCCTCTGAGCCACCCCCCTCAAAGCTGTGATGGCCCCTGCCTCAACCCCTGCCTCAACCCCTGCCTGAAGCCCTTGCCTCCGGAGCCCAGCAGCACTGCTGCCATTCCCTCACGCTACCCAAGACCCGAATGACGCGGGAGGGGGGACCTGACTTCACACTGTGGCTTTTGCTTTTCTCATCTCTTTGCCCTGGTGAGATGTATGAGAAAACCTGCAGCAAAAGAAGCACGCAGCGCTGCTTCTGCTCCCGGCTGCGGGGACGAATGGACATGAGCAGCTCTCCTGGAGTCATGGAAGCGCGGGGCAGCCTTACCTGCCCTGCCACAAAGTCCAGCGCCCTCAGAAATAAGAGTAACCACAACAGGGCAAACAAATCACATCCATTCCGAGCTCTGCAGCACTGGGCTGGGCCCTAGGGATGAACCATGTTTCAGCCACGGGAGCGTGTTGGAGCAGGCTCTTTGTAAGCATGTCTCTGGCCCTAAAAGCAGACTGGACCAGCAACCAGAGGATGAATTCAAGAGTCAGACATCAGATGCTTCTCTTTTGTTTTGCGCTACTGCCGTTCTGTGACTACATCTGTAGCTGCTTCCATTCCTAAGGTTTATTCTTCTGTTGTTTTGGTTTTTTCTTCCAGTTATGTTTCACTGCTTTGCAAGCACCAAGACAGACTCTAATTTGAACACCACACACAGAGGGGTCGTTAAGGGCTTTACCTGCTGAAAGCTGTCCCGCAAAAGCTGCTGGTCCTCTGGGTGACAGAAGTCCACAATGTCCTTCCCCAGGAGTTCCTAATTTTGAAGGAAGTGGGAGAGAGATGAAGGCAGTTTGCACAGGAACTCACGCTCCCTCGGTTCCACTTTAGAGCTGCTCCCCCAGCAGCAGCGCTGCCACTGCCAGCCCCAGCACACGGCGCAGCTGCAGGACCTGCTGTGCTGTTCTAACGTTTGATCTCCAATTCACGTGGAGCAACAGCAACCTTAACTGACAGCTGACACAACTCAGAGCTGCCAGCTCCATCCACCATCAAAGCACTGCAGAAAGTGGATCAAAAGCCACTGCTGGAGGAGGAGCACGCGCCTGGGCGCTGTTTGGCCAGGCCTGTGCGACAAGCAGGGCCACGAGGCACAGAAGGGGAGGAGAAAAGCGAGTCTGAGCAGCAGCTGTGCTCAGGAAGCTCCTGCTGCTCTCTCACCTGTGGCTGGTAGCCAACAGTGGCCACACAGCGGTGGTCTATGAAGGTGAAAATGCCTTCCGTGTTGTGCCGGGAGATGAACTCTGTTGGCTGACAAACGTTGCTCATGTCTGTGCAGTTGGGTGAGCTGGTGACCTGCGAGGAAAGGCAGCGGCGGGAGCTGAGCCGGCAGAGCTGTGCTGTGCTGGGCAGCCCTGGGCCCTGCAGGAGGATCTGCAGCCGTCAGGGAACGCAGTGCAGCCCTGCAGGCTTCAGGACAACGCTGAGCCCTGGACGATGCTACGCACCTGCAGCCGGCCGATGGCCACGAGGCAAAACTTGCTGCCCTGGCCAGCATCTGGGTCATCGTCAGGCAGCGAAACACCTGAGAGAGGAGTGCCAAAAATTCCAGCAAGGTCAGTACAGGAAGAACTGCTGATTTCGGGGAAAAAAAGACAGACATGCAGTTCTGGCTCTGAGGAACTTCTCCACCCCATTCTGTACTCAGAATCCTCTTCCATGAAGGAATTTGCTAAGTTAAGCTGCCTCCCCGCTCCTCATTCCTTGCCAGAATGGTTTGAGTTCTCTCTCTTCCAGCCAGCACATCAGGCAGCCTGCCACGATTCCTGCCCTCTGCAGAGGGTCCCGTTCAGACACAAACCTCCACCATCCCACATCTGCAACAATCAGTTCAGTCCCAACACAACGAAAAGCGACAGATGTGCACGGGAAGCATTTGCTCGCACGTTCAGCTCAGAGGGGACAGCTTCAGAGCCGTGTCCTCAGGCACAGCTGGGGCTTTGCAGAGCCCTTACCTGCAGGGGGCCAGGCCTTGATGTAACCCGTGCAATGCACCACCACGTAGTGAGGCTCTCCGTCCTTCGTCGCGCCCAAGCCGTTCCTTGGGAGAGAGAAGCAGCTGAGATCAGGCCAGGTGTCAAATCAGGTCAGGCAAGGTCTGTAATTGCCTTCAGAAAACTTCCACAGAACGTCGTGGAGGTAAAGAGAGACTGAATGTAAATGTGAGAGCTCTGAGGACACAGACTCGGGTCAGAAGGGACCTCAGGACTTCTGGGTCCTTCCCTGCAGAGCTGCCTTCCCACTGGGGACGTCAGAACCTGCCTCATCTTTTAATTAACACAAAGACAACATCCACCAGAGCCCAACAACAACAGTCTGAAGAACACGGGCTTTAAACCGACTTCAGACCCGAGTCTGGAGTCAAGGAAGTCTTATCTGCCCTAGGATGAACTTTGGTTCCTCCTCCAGCTCTTCTCACTCTCCTATGAGCTGTAGGAGCTCAGTGCCCCAGGCCTCCGCTGGGGAGCTGCAGCCCCTTGGATCCCAGCAACGCAGAGCTTTGCCCATCACCCTCATCTCACTCACCTGCAGCGATTCCTCATGAAGCTGAGACGATTTACAGACACTGAATCCACTGAGCTGTTGCCACACCTGTACCAGAATAAGGAGCGAGGAGGAAGAAAAGCTTTTGTCTTTCTTGGTCACGGTCAGAACAATCTCACCACCTTGAATTAGCCAAAGCACTCTATGAATGGGGATGAACCTCTGAGTCTCCATCACATAGATGGAAAGCACTGATTCTGGGTGCCTGAAGAAGAGCAGTGACACGTGGGGGTGAAATAAATTGTTACTGGAAGCTGAATGTCCTACAGCAACAGCAGAGAGCCATCTGAGCTCAGGGCAACTAAACTGGGCTGCTAGCTCTGCGTGGAAAGCCGTGCCACGTTACGTCCAGTGAGCAAAAGGAGCTGGAATAAGACGAGCGAGTTCAGCTTCAGCCTCGGGTGCCGTCCCTGCAGCTCTCTCATTACCTCATGCGGCAGATGAAGGATCTCCGGGAGCCCATGCACATCCTCATGGACTGCTGCCCCTCCTTCTTGACAGTCCCCGTCTTCAAATCCAGGATGCGACCTGAAGAAGGAAGGAGAACCCAGAGGTTGCCGCAGTTCCCCTCCTTTCCCCAGCGCAGGCACCAGGCAACGTGATTAGGAAACCATCAAGAGAGAAGTGTCACCAGTGGTACCTTTAGATGCACTCTCAGGGGGGGCTGCAGGATCCTTGTTAGAAAGGCACCAGGGTTTGGTTCCTTCTACAAAGGGAAGGTTTCAATCCTTGTCCTTCGCCGGCTCGCTCTGCCCTCCCCCTCCTGCCCCCCCCGGGCTGCGTTACCTGTCAGCGCGTTCTCGGAGGTGGAGAGCTGCTCCCTCAGCTTGCCCACATCGTCCGGGTGCACCTGGTCGTACAGCGTGCTGCCGAACCACTCCGACTGGGGCTGGTTGAGGACGGGAGTCACGGAGTCCGAGACGTAAACCACCCTCCCCGTCTCACAGGACACGATGAACAGAAAGCCGTCGGCCGCCTCCAGGATGAGGTGTTTGAGCTCCTGCGTTCACAACACACCAACCTCTCACTCCAGAGATACAGGCGTCGCCCCCCCAGCCCCCCTCGCCCTTGGATCCCCATCTCTGCCATCAGAGAATCACAGAGGGGCCCGGGTTGGAAGGAGCCTCGAGGATCACGGAGCTCCAACCCCCCGCCACACGCAGGGCCACCAGCCCCCCATCTCGCAGCCCAGGCTGCCCAGGGCCCCGTCCAGCCGGCCCTGAGCGCCTCCAGGGACAAACGGGGCACCACAGCCTCTCTGGGCAGCTGCTCCCACAACCACCCCCCACCCTGCAACGGCAGCGCTCCCCACAGAGCCAACACCTGATCAGTGAGGAAGGAGGGTTTGTAGGTGCCGTCCGTGGACGTGTTGCCTGTGCCACGCAGGGACTTCATGTGGGACACGGCCATTCGCAGGATGGTCAGCTTGTCTGGTTTGCGTGCCAGGGCGCTGCAGGTGGGCACCATGTCAGACAGCTCCGTGATGTAGGCAGTCATTTTGTTCCTCCGCCTACGTTCGATCTCGCTGTGATTCTCCCTGGGAGGAAAGCAGGAAGACGGAGTCAGCACCAGGCCGGGAGGCTCCGCTGCCTTCCGGGGTGCAGAACACAGAGATGCATTGGGGTCACCGGGAGTTGGGAGGACTGCAAGCACCCCGCATGCTGCTCGTGCACAAAGGGACGCGGGAACGAGTGCAAGGAGAAGAGCCTGCAGCTGCACCTCCCTGCTGCGGACGAGGAGCCTCGCTTTGTGCCACGCCACCTCCCTGCTGCCTCGGGAAGCTACAGGCTAAGCTACGCTGCTTGAGAAGACAAAGCAGCTTCTCCGTCACCTCTGGAACGCTTCAACCAAGGACTCCTTCCTTCGGCACAGCCCCTGCTCTCAGGGGGTGCAGCAGACTCCATCTGGAGCAGCACAGCACGCAGCAGATGCTCACCCCGCTCCCTGGTTGAGGACTGCACGCATCCCTCCACCTCCAGCAACCATCTAAGGAGGCCAGGGCTGCAATTAAGGCTTGGACATCTAAATTACCACGGACAAACCTCACCTGGCACTGCCCTCACGCAGATGCTGTGTTACACTGAGGTCCCCTTACAGTCATGTGGCAGAATGGAAGCTGCAGAGCAGACACTGCCTGACTGCACCAAGCGAGGCCAAGAGGGGCAGCCCCTCCACCAGCAGCCCCTGGTGCACACGCAGCTCCCACAGCCCTGCAACAAGTGCCGACCACCCACTGCCCTTTGTGAGGCCCTTCGTGGTCCTTTGCAAGCCTGCTCACAAGGCACGTTCCTCCCCAGGTCCCTGGGTCAGGATATCACCTCCAGACCCGTCCTTCCTATCCAGCGCTGCCGCCAAGTGGGTTTTCCCCAAAAAAGAACCTACAAGCCAGGTTTCCTACACAAAAGGATGGATGGGGTCTAAGGAAGCAGTGATGGGAACATGGAATGAGATGAGTGTGGGAGGAACAGACAGGCAGCGAGTTAAAGAAGACAAAACACGAGAAGGGAGCTGATCAGCACCAGACGTGCGCAGCCGTTCAGTGGCTGCACGCCTCACTGTGAGGTCAGAAGTGCTCAATTATCACACTCACCTTTAGTTCAGCTCCTCCTGCATGCTGGAGTGTGAAAACAAAGCCACCTCCACTAAAAGGCTACTGGGAAACCACCACAGCTTTCACTGCCAAGTGTTCTGAGCGTGCTGAGTGACAGCAGGAACTCGCTACCAGGGAGGAGGGAAGGGCGGCAGCTTCAAGGCCAACCCACCAAGCACTGCTGTGCTGCACCCACAGCCCCACCTCGTCCTCCTCATCCCCACGGATATTTAAGCTGTGCACCACCATTCAGGCAGGGCTGCGTTGGGGGGCTGTATCTAAAAGCAGGGATCAGCTGAGCAGAACTGAAGCCTCCTCAGCTCCACACACGACGAATAAGGCAGGGTGGAACAGCCCAGGGAAGACAGGGCAAGCCTGCAGGATGGCAGCCATCAGAGCAAGCCATCTCTGCAAGCTATCAACACAAATGATGATCAGAAAGCTGTGGGTGGCAAGCAGTAAAAACCCTGATGGCTTTTTCAGCTGTTTTTCGTTACTGCACAGCTTGGTGCAGCTTGGTGCACTTGGGGCAATGCTTTCCTGCAGCAGCTGCAGCTGCGCGCTCCCAGGGCGCGATTCTGTGCTGAGGTGCAACAGTGCAGCACTGAACGCCTCAAGCATTCCTGTGAGAGCCACAGCCCCATCGAACTGCAGCTGGGGATCCGGGGAATAACGGCCCTGTCTGCACTAAACCCGAGTTGTTCTCATGGAAGGGCTTCATTTTCCCTGGATGTTTTTTTTACAGGGCCACAAAATGAAGAGGTCGGAAGAAACAACCAACCTGCACGAGTGCGGCTCTGAAAGCCTCTCTGACATGAACTCAGCTCCTGTGATGAGCCCCGTTCAGGAGGGGCTGCGGCTCCCTGAGCAGCACAGGTCAGCAAAGCTGCAGTGCCGAGTGAAGCGGCCGCCCAAGCACGCTCAGCCCAGCAGCTTTCAAGGAGCAAATCCTCTGTGTGCCCCCATAGACATTCCTGCAGCAGGACTGGGTGCCTTTCCCCTCCTATTTCCAATTACACAGCAATTTCCAGCAGTCTGTTCATTTTCAAGCCCTCTACTGCAGCAGTGGGGGGAAGGAGGGGGACAAAAAGGAGGAGGGATGCCTAGAGAGACACGAAGGAAGGGCAACGCTCTGCTGGTCCATGCTCGCAATCTCCATTCTCCTACCTGGCAAGTCTCTCCTTATCCGCTGAACTCTGCTCATCATCAGACCTAAAAATAAAATCAGTGAGCTAAGCTCCAATGGAAAAAAAGTTGAATGGAATGAGAAGTGGGAGGATGCACGAGGAAACCCGGCCTGCAGGCACGCCTGCTCTGCAGAGGAGCGGCTCCACGGCATAACATGGGTGCTGTGCACCCTCACACAGCAGAGCAGTGCCAGCCAGCCAGGTTGTTTTAGAGCTCCGAGAGCTTTGTCAGATGGTGAACAGGTGGGGAGGAGGGGTTGTGTGAGCGAGTGCAGTTTGCTCCGTGCAAGATTAGGAGGTGAATGGCACAGCTACAAAGGGGGCCCCGACCACGTTCAGCTGACCTTTCCTTGAAGGAAAGGGAAATAAATCAAGGAGAGCCTCTGTGCTGTTACGAACAAACAGGAAAGCAGGTTTAAGGAAAAACAACAAAATCGGAGGACGGCTGGGCTCACGGGCAGCACAGCTCCAACACCACACATCCATGCAGTCAGCACAGCTCCAA